GAGAAAGGTGTTTTTTTGAGGGACAAGAAATTTGTGAACTGTTATATAATATCGATCGAACTAACAGTTGCAACTGATAACTCTTTTTTTGCTTTCTCTCTCGTTTTGGAGTGATTGTCCTTTTTTACGATGAAAAAGAGAGATAGATATTCTAGTGAAGCGATATCACTGTTAGCACAGTCGTTGTTTCCGTAAGTGGCACTAGTGGTTCACCGACCCTCGGGCAACTTGAGCTTGCGGTTGTGATTGCAGTCTGAAATGTCTGCATTTCCAAGCACAGCAATAACAATTTTGTCCACATATGTATCTTGAGACAAATCCCGTTTGACACTCTGTACATTCCCGTTTAATTCCAATATACTAATGTATTGCAATAAACTTTTTCAAATTCTTTTTTCTCCCTTTGGTCCCCTTTGGTACCAAATTTTCATTTTTTTCTCTATTTTTTTCGCTTCTCCTTCTTTTGTTATTAAGGATTTTCTCCTAATTTTGTATCCAAAAGGAACGAAAATTTTTCAAAGACAAAAATCCGTATTATTTTCGGAAAATTCAGCGAATTAGGTTTAAAGCTTTGAATTTGAAGACAAAGAAAAGACATTAAATGTAAATAAAAATGTTTTTGTTAATCCCTCTCCATTGTATTGATGAGTACGATACATTTTGTACTGTTAGCAAATAACTGGGCACAATCGATTCAGGTGTACCGTTTGTCTACTCTATACGCGTTATTGCGGCTAAAACGCGAATTCAACCACGCATGTGGAAAATCTGATATCCCCAATGGCTTGAAATCCATTGCATTTCAAGAATTTCTAAATCGTTTAAAATGTTCACGTTCCAGTTCAACGCTCCATTTTTTTAATTCTCCTTTTCTTCCAATTCAATTAGACAACAAAATTTGATTATTCGGCATTTTTTCTGCAATTGTTGCAAATTTTATTTTCCCTCGTTCAGAAAAAATATAAATTATTAAACAAATAATAATTATTTAACATGGTATTCCACAAAAGTTTGATTTTAATTTTCCCTGATTTCCAGAGAGAATTTTGACTTTTTCTCTGACTCTAAACAATATTTTAATTCACTCAAAAAATAATTAGATATAAGAAAAATGTTTGTAAAATATTTATTGTTGGATATCTTTAATTGTAAAATTATTCGAAACATCAATAGTTTTTTTTAAATAATATTTAATAATCATTATTATTTTTTTTCCACGGGAATTAATATTTTAGAAAATTTCGAATTTCACATTTCAAAGCGTTAAAAATTAAACATCTTATCTTATACGAAATTATTTTCAAGATTTCAATTCAATTATTTTCCAGAAATTTTAACTAAAATTCTTCTCTAATTCAATTATTTTCAATAATTTTTGAGAAAGTTTCTTAACAATTCAGTTATTTATTAATTTATTTAAATAAAAAAAGTTTTTCACATGAAATATTTCTGACCTCCATTTGTTTACAATTCAATTTCATGAAACTTCATAAATTCAATATTCTGATATTATTTTATTTATTAAATATATGAAAATAATTAAAAACTTACAACTTTTTTTAACGAACTTAATTAAAATTGTTTTGAAAATAATTAAATTTTTATAAATAGAATTTTTTTATTTTATTAAAAAATAATTGAATCCTTTCAAGAAATTTTTTAAAAATTTTCTTTGAAATAATTGAACCCCTGAGAATTTTTGTGCTTGCTTATAAATTATAATTTATGAAAATAATTAAATTCTATATTAGAGTTTTACTAAAATCCAGGCCTCGGATCGACTTTAAGGAGCAAAAAAAGTCGCTTTAGTCGATTTAAAATAGAAAAAAAGTCGAAGTAGTCGTTTATTTAATTCAGTGTCATTACAAAATTTTAATTTTTAATTCTTCTGATCTTTCACTGATTTCTAAATTTAATTATTTAAAACTTGAATAATTTTGTTAAATAAATATTTAAATATTTCTTGTTTGTTTTTATACGGGAATAAAATTTTAAAAATTTCTATTTAAAACCTTCTATTTAATAATTTCTAAAAATTACAACTTTAATTCTCTTAAAATTCAATTATTTTCTACAATTTTTAATCAAACTTCTTCTCGAAATCAATTATTTCTAATAATTTTTCGAAAGTTCTTAGAGAATTCAATTATTTAAGTACAACTTAGAATTTTTTCAGGATCTTAATTTTTGTCAAATAAATCTGTTTATATTGTGACATTGGGTCCAAAGGACCCAAGGCCACAATATAGACAGATTTATTATTTAAATACAAAAATTCAGTTCTTTATAATGATTCTAACTGTACTGTCCCATGTTTTTTAAGTTATTAATTAATTTTCAAAAAATTATAATAAAAAAATTCTTAAAATTAATTTTTCAAAAATATTTTAAAAATAATTTATGAAAGATAATAGTTTTTCAATTATATAGAATTAGAAAATTTCCAAACAATTGAAATTTGGTAAATTCTATTAAAAAAATAATTGAATTTTTAAAGTTAATTATTAATATAAACGCGATTTCTCCACAATTTTAATAAATCTAAAAAAGTCATATGTTGTTAAAATGTTAAGAATAATTGTAAAAAATTTTAATGTTATTATTTTTTGTATGTACATATTTGAATTTTTGGAAATTTATATTTAAAAATATTGAAAGTAATTGAATTTTATAAAATTAGATTGCAAAAATTCTAAGAATTATTTTTATCAAAAATATTTTAATATAATTTTTTTGTAGCTAATTTTCATTAATTACCACTGTAAATTTTGAAAATTTATTTAGTAATTTATAAAAATAGTTGAATTGTTTCGAAGAAATTATTAAAAATTTTAGGAAATAATTGAATTTTATGTAAATATTTGAAAATATTTGAATTGTTCCAAAAAATTCAATTAAATATGTTTTGAAAATAATTGAATTCCTGCAAAGAATTTTACTATTTATAAAAATAATTGAATTCTTGCGAAGAATTTTACCATTTATAAAAATAATTCAATTGTTTCGAAGGATTTATTAAGATTTTAGAAAATAATTGAATTTATTCGAAATATATTAAAAATTGTTTTAAAAATTAAATTCTTCCGAGGAATTTAATTTCAATTATTTTCAAAATTTGCAATTAAAATTCTTCAAATGTTGATTTTCAAAAATTTTTTAAAAAACACTAAAAAAATCAATTATTTTTAATTAAATTTTACAAAATTTCAATATTTATTGAAACTCTTTTTAATTGTAAATTTCGAAAATAAGTTGCAATTTATACTAAAAATTATTTCAATATTCGGAAGAAAAGTCGAAAAAAGTCGCATTTTTTGAAAATAGTCGAAAAAAGTCGAAAATGGTATAATATCTGGGTCCTGAAAATCTCAAAAAATAATTGAATTTTTTTGATAATATTTAAAATAATTTAATTTCGGCGAAAAATGAAATTAATATTTTTAGAAATAATTTAATTCTTTCGAAAATATTGAGAATAATTTAATTGTTTTGAAGAATTTTATTAAACTTTAATTTTTCAAATTTTGAATCTGAAATTATTTAAAAATTGAATTTGATATTTGAAAGTAAAAATTTTGTAATTTACATAATAATAAGAAATTAAATACTGCGTTTCAATCGCTGGCGCGCGTAATATTTGCTACTTATTTATATTATTTATAAAAATTTAAAGCGAAATTATTTTAAATAAATTCAATTTCAAGTCTGTAAGGTTTAATTATTGTCAGAAGTAGAGAGAATGGAAAATTAAATTAAATCTATTCAATTTTTTTAATGGCTGCTGTACAACAAAATTTAGAATTTTCTTATGAATTCTGGAAGTTGAATATGTTTCCACTACTTTTGATAAAATTCTCTGCTTTATCCTTGACCAATTTTACTTTCCCTGCCTTTTCCCTGAATTCCCTGACCTGTCGCAACCCTGTTTAATTAAATTATTTTCATTCGCATTATGTTATTAATATAGGGGAGACTGGGGCGAAAAGTTAAATTGTGAAAACAGTTAAAATTCATTATCTTTCGAACGGAAATAGTTAGAGCATTGCAATTTTAATTATAGAAGGGTGTTATCACCCTAAATTAATGTCCGGAGTTGTGTGCAATTCTGTTCATTTTTGTGGTGTCTATATTGAAAGTTTTTTTTAACCTACTTTTGAAAATTTTTTCGAAAAAGAAAATATCAACTTTTAAGTATATTTTTTGCATTTATTCTAGCCGCGATTTTTTTACTTCATTATTTGGGTCCCCTGAAGAGATACCTAAAGGTATTTGCTAAATATCTTTAGTCAGATTTTTTATATTTGTTTTTAAAGCCAAAAACGCACCCTGGGGCGAAAAGTTAAATGTATTTTTACATGTTGTTAAAATTTTTTTTTATTTTTCGTTATTTTGGGTTTATTTGTTTAAAAATTATTTATTTGACATTGAGCAAGTACTCTGTCAAAAAGCAAAACCGTTTACGTGAAATAAACCAAAAAATCTTTTTTTTTGAAATTGCAATTTATTAACTTTATAACTATTCTAAAGCTTTTGTTAAGTAAACAAAGATCTTTTATTAACTAAATTACTTGTTTACGTATACTTTATCTTATCTACTACTTAACACCTATTAGAAAATAGTTTTAGTAGGCTATAAAAATAGAATTTATCTTTTTGCCCCAGCCATTAAAAAACAAAATTTTCAAAAAAGGACAAAACATGTATTGTATGCGAAAATATCAGAAACTTTTTTATTGAAAGTTGTAGGGGACAAGTTGCCGTACAATATTGATGTATAAATATTTGCATCTAAGCAAAATTTAACTTTTCGCCCCAGTCTCCCCTACTAATATTATTGTATAATTTCGTCAATATTTGCCAATTACCATTTTATTTATTCAGATTACCAATTCATGGTCCCTAAGGACCGCGGGCGATATAATAAACAAATAATAAAAATTAATTAAAAAATTGAATTTTTGATGTGTGGAAAATAGAAAAATAAATATTTGCACTTACAGCTGCGATGGGAAGATGTCAGAGTACACCGGGACTGGTGGAATCGAAGGGTCGAATACCCTTGGAGGATATGTGGATATCACCGATTGACATCAAGGCAACCCATCAATATCCAGTGAGTCATTCCGTCTTCTCGCCGAGTCCAAGTCCCGTTCAATCAAGAGGTGTCACGAGTGCCAATAATGGTAACGTGATCGGCAATTCGAGAAATATGGATAGTCCAACTAGTGCAGCAAGCAGCCACAGTAGTGAAGATCCGACAGCCAGAGCGACTCATTTAGGAACAGCTCAACTCTCCACCGGAAGACAATCCTCTCACTCTGGTAAAGAAACAGAAAAAAATTATCATCAAAATTATAAACAGGCCTCGGATCGAAAATTCAATTATTTTTGTCAACATTTCATTTTTTATTCATTAATCATTATTTTTATTTATTATTTCCCTGTTATTAAGAAACTCACAAAAAAAAGATTTAAAACATTTGCTTTTTGAAATTTAATGAAAATTCTTCATTTTTTCAAAATACCACTGGAACTATCCTAGTAATAAGTCTATTCTAAACTTTTTTAAAATTCAATTATTTTTCAAATTTTCAATTAGAATTCTTTAAAAAAACGATTATATTTCAAAATAATTTTTAAAAGTAAACAAATAAAATTCATTAAAATATTAAATTTATTTCAATGAAATTTGACAAAATTTTCAATTGCTTCAATTTTTTTAAATTATTTTCGGAAATACAATTATTTTTAAAAAAATTTAATTGCATTTTTTCAAGAAAAAAATTTTTTCGGATTTTCTAAATTAAATTATTCAAAACTTCAATACTTTTTGTTAAAAAAAAATTAAACAGTTATTCTTATTTATTTTTCCACAGGAATTAAGATTTCATATAATTTTAATGAAAAACCTTTTGAAAGGGGTCAAGCAACAATTTAATGATTTTACAGGAAACGAAAATAACACGTTTAAAAATTTTCCTGATCATTAAAGAAAAATCTAAAAAAAAACCATTTGGAGATATTATTTCGCTTTACCAGTATAAATATAATTTATGAAGATAAACATACATATTAGTGAGAAAAATAATTAAAAGTGGACCATTTTGCTGTTACGTGAAATGCGCATATTTTGTTATAAAATTAATTGTTAAAAAAATGTACAGTTTAAAGAAAAACTGAAAAATTTGTTTTTTAATATTGAATTGGCGAATTGAATGCAAAAAAGTTGGCTTTAAAAAAGTTGTTTGTTTTCAAGAAAATTGTTAATTAAATGTTAACTTTTGAAAGTAAACAGTACAGAAATTTTCAAATACAAACTACAAACAGGAATATTTAAAAATTAACAAAAGAATAATATTTAAATTATTGAAAAATAGATAAAGAATAAAACTATTTCTAAATAGACATCAAATTTTTCAGCGAAATTTAATATATTATATTTAATGACATTAAAAAGAAAGCAATATTTTTAACCATATTAACCTATTCATAATAATATTCATTTCTTTTCTTTTTTTTAACTGAATTGCATTGTAAATAAAAATTTAGGCTATTTTTTTATTCTTATTTTTATTAGAAACGAGTTTAAAAAACAATTTACAAGAAAATCCTCTTACAGAACTGTGTAAATCGATTTACCTGATTTTTTTATAAAAAAATCTCAATTTCGAAAAATTGTTGCTTGACCCCTTTTGTCATGCCACCCTTCAATTAATCATTTAGTGAAAATTGATGAATTTTAAAATATTTTTTGTGTATTTTTTTGCAAAAAATATTTTATCCTAGAAAAAGTGTTATTTCGGTGCAAAAAAGTATATATAAAAATAAATATAATATAATAAATATAATAAATAAAAAAAAATGCCCAATCCGATGCCTGAAATAAAAAATGTTTATATTTTTAATTCTAAACAAATAACAATAAATAAAGCACATGAAAAAATAACTAAAACAAAAAAAATGAATTAAATATTAAATTACAAAAATTTAATAGACGAATGTGAATGTAAAATTCTAGAGACTAATGTGAGTTTAATGTCTTAAGGGAAAATCTTTATCTTCGTTGAGCTTTTTTTCAAAACAGAAAAAAAAACCCTTCAGGTACTCAGCTTTATTTTTACATGTTTTCAGTAGTTACCTTGATGTATTTTTCAAACGGATTTTTGATGGTTTTTTATAGCATGGAAGTCGTTTACGAGATATGAATTTTAAACTGTTACTCGACATAAAAGCGGATGCGTCGACGCATATTCGTGAAAATAATATCACTCTTTCCATTATAAAAGTTCGTAATCGCAAAGCGCAACAAAGAATTGGTTTTGTCTTTTAAAAAATTTACAAGAGATCTCTAAAGAATATTTATTTCACAACGGAAATGGATTTGTAAATAAAACAAAATTCTTTTTTTTTCTCTCCCTCTCTTTCTCTCTTCCTCTCTCTCTCTTTCTAAATATGATTGTTTTATTTAAAGAAAACTGCAAATTTTGTTTGCAAAACTCTCTCCATTTTTTCTTTGTGAGACATTAAAAGTTGAATTCAGTTTAAACTCAATTTCTTTCTTTTTAAAAGAATTTTTATTTAAACTTGAAAAATTTGTGAATCTATGTTCATTTCTTTTTTAGGAAAAATTTTTCGAAATCATTCGGATTTATTAATTAAAAATTCTGTTTTCTAATTTTCCAATTCATTAAATTTTCTAACTTCTTTAATTATCTAATTTCATAATTTATTCAATTTTCCAATTAAAAAAAATTCCGAAAATCGTACCAGCGTCGTTGATTACGTGAATATTAATTAATTCATTAATTCATTAGAAATAATTAATTATTATTTATTAATAATTAATTCAATTTAAATTAAATAATAAGTTTATACAATTTTTTAATTAAATGATTTATTCAATACTTAAATTTAATAATTTATTCAATTTTTTAATAATACATTAATAAGTCTTCAGAAAATCAATGATGTTATTGGAATAAATTTTTGCATTTTCTCAATTAGAAAAATGAATAATTCAGAAAATGAGAGAAAAATTAAATAAACATATTAATAAAATTTTCTATAGAAAATTGAGTAAATTAGAAATTATAATAAATTAGAACGTTAAAAAACTGATTAAATGATTAAATTAAAAAATTAAATAAATTTTTAAATTATAGATAAATAAAACTGAATAATTTCAAAAATTTTCTTGGAGAAAAAAGAAAAAAATTGAATAAAAGCTTACAATTCAATTTGTAATACAATTGTATTTCAAATTTAATAATCCATTCTATTTTATAATTGAAAAAATATCATTTGTCCCAAAGTCGTTGATTTTTTAAATAATAAATAATTGAATACTCTTTTCAATTTAATAATTGAATTAATTTAAAAGTAGTAAATGTGGAAAATTTGGAAAATATTCTTTTGGAAAAAAATGAATAAAACATATTTTTTTAGTTATTTAATTTAATAACTTGTTAAATTATTTAATAATTCGTCTGAAAATGAACGATATTGAAACGAATATTTGTATTCTTCTTTATTTTATTTATTTTTTTTTAAATAAAAAATTTGTAGTTATTTTCTATTTGTTAATTAATGAAAAAAAGAACTTTTTTTGAAAATTGGTCTTTTTTCAGGTATGACGTGCAACAGTATGACTCAATTAGTGAGCGAAGGAACGACTCCAGTGTTGGGCACGCACGAGGTTCTTTTGGCGGAAATAAAACGATTGCGAGAGCGATTGGTGGGTTTGGAAACTGAGAATGCAGCGATGAGCGTAAAATTAAATCAACAACAATGGGAAGTTGAGAATCGTCTAAAGGAAATTGAAATGCAAATTGGTGGTGCGAGTTCAACATCCAGTGTCGAGGATGAAAGAAATCGCGAGAGCATTATTTAACGAGAAACACAGCCGCGAGAGCGCGGCAAGACGAAAATCGAGCGAATTCATCGTTATCTGGAGCAAACGAGTTTGGATTACGACGATATACTTGAGGGTAGCGACAGTAAATCAATTGGTAGCCTTAGTCAAAGACTTTTCGAAAGTGACGACGATGATGATGACGATAATGATGAAAAATATCTCGGAGCATGTAACGGCTATTCCTCGCATCCGGGAAGTAAATCGAATCTTCTTCTCTGCAGTGAATGCGATCTAAAATGTAGAACATGCTCCTACAGGCCCCAAACACCGAGTGCCTTTGGTCGATTTGCCGTCGAGGAGAAATTGGATCATCCCTGCAGTTGTGAAAGTCCCAGCGACGATCCAGAGACTCTTAAAGATAATCCAGAGGAGGAGGCGACTTGCTCGTCCTGTCGGCAGTACAGTTTCAATGGAACTTCACGAAGATGTATTCATTGTGACACATCCGATCCGGATGAAGGCGATTTAATCTGCTTCAGATGCCAGAGTGACGCCGGATCGCGCTGTGAAAAATGCGAGAGGGATGGTGGTGGTAAATATCGTGGGATTTATTCGGCGACAGGCTCATCGAGTGAGGACAGTAAACGAATGACGAAAATTCGTCTCAATAGTAAAACAATCGATTTTGAATCCGACGAAACTGGCGAGAGTGATCCAACGAATGGATTAGATGAGGAAATTGTCACCGAAAGACTAGAGACAATTGCCGAAGCTAAAGGTGATACGGCTAGTGAAAATGGCGATGATGAAAATTCCCGAAAATTAAATGGTTCCTCATCGCAGGCCAAATTTCTCAATTATATGATCGTCATCTTTTTGTAAATAATAACCCAGTCGGATCAAAGAGCATTTAACAATTTTACTTCCACAAACATTTTTTGGAAGTTTCTCTTTGCTTCTATGATCCATAGATAGCTTTATTTTTCCCAGAAAAAAAATAAAATTTTGCCGATACAGGTTCCAACCGTGCCTCGTTCAAAGGAGGATCGAGTCTATTCTTCAAAAGAAAAAGAAAAGTCTAAATTCTAGACTTCCGGATTATCCGCACTTGTAAATAAACTGCCAAAAAAAATTAGAATTTTGCACTTCATGTCAAAAAAAAAAAAAAAAAAAAAAAAAAATTCATTAAAATCTAAGATTACAGAGCTGGTAAAGGAGAGTTGGTGTTCGAAGCGCGCCATGTTGCCATAAATGTGAGATCTGAAGTATTTCGTTTAGAATTAACGTTCAAATACTCAAACTCACGTTCGGGACCAACTAAAGCCACCATTCAACATCATTGCTTCCAACTATTCGTATAGAATTCCTAAGAACTGAATTCCATAAATTCAGGAAACTTATCCTGTGGTAATAAATATTATCCTTCTTGCCGCGGGATATTTAGAGAATTCTATTTTTGCATCAGGCTCTGTTTGTAAGTAAGCAATGCTCATCATTTGGCAAACGAGATGTTTGAGAATATACAGGCCTCGGATCGACTTTTAGGCGCAAAAAGTCGATTTAGTCGACTAGAGATAAAGACGAAACAAGTAGTTTATTTCTTTTAGTTTTGTCACAAAAAATTCATTTTGTACTTTTCTAAATTCAATTCATTGATTTCTAAATTCAATTAAATGATACCTAATAATTATTAATTATTAATTAATTAAATTATTAATTAAAACTCAATAATTTTGTTACACAAATATTTAAATACTTGTTATTAAAATTAAAAAATAAATTTTTAGAAATTTTAATTTCAAACCTTTTGAAATTTATAATTACAATTTCTAAAAATTGCTCCTATAAATTTTCCAAAATTCAATTGTTTTCTAGAATTTTTAACTCGAACTCTTTTCTAAATCAATTACTTTTAATAATTTCCAGAAAGTTCTTCGAGAATTAAATTATTTAAAAAAAAGAAACTCTGTTAAAATCATAGAGATATAAGGTTGAAATTCGTCTTAAATTAAATTGTTTCCAATTCAATACACTAACGGAATTTTGATTATTCAAAAGGTTTTTAGTTCTATCATTTATATTCAAAAATTCAACTTACTTTCAAAATTTCAAATAGAATTTTAATAAAAATTTTTCAAAAATCTGAATTCTTCAGAATTTTTAATTAAAGTAACTAAAAATATAAGTTTTTTTAAATTTTAATAAAAGTAACTCAAAATTCAAATTTTAACAAATTTTAATTTGAAACGTTTGAAAATTATTTAAATAAAAAATTTAAGTAAAACGTAATTTATCGAAAATAAATTTAGATAGAATAAATAATTTTTTTTTAAAAATGGGTACAGTAACTTTTCTATACATTCTATTATTTTCTAGAATTTATAACCAAAATTTTTCTCAAAATTAATAATTAATAATATTTAATAATTTCTCGAAAGTTCATTGAGAATTCAATTACTTAAATAAAAAAATTCAATTTTTTACATCAATGTAACTATAGATATTTAAGGATTTTTTTTAATTATTAAGGTGAATTATTGAGAATATTTACTCAAAAATATTTTAAATACTTGATTTTTTAAAAATCGGATTAAAAAAAATTCTTAAAATCAGAATTTTAAAAATAATTTAAAATAATAACAATAATATTCTAAATAATTGAAATTTAGTAAAAAATTTTGTAAATAAATGAATTTTTGGAAAATATTAAAAAATACTAAATTAAATTTTTAGAGAATTTTATTATAAAATTTATGAAATTACTTTATTTCCTCAAAATTTTGATGTCTAAAAAACTGAATTTTATAAAAATTTATTTGCTTTCTTTTAAAGAAATTGAATTTTAAAAAACTAAGTATACGATAAAAAAATCGAAGTCTTAGTTTTATATAAATATTGCAACGTGACTTTTCGAATATAATTTAGTTATTTCTATTTCTGAAAAGATTTTTTTGGATAGTTTAAAAAACTAATCAATTTTTTAAAAAATTATAGGTAATTAAAAATTTTGAAAATAATTGATTTTTCCATAATTTTACAAATTAATATAAAAAATCAGATTTTTTAAAAAATTGTATTCAATTTTTTTGCAAATAATTGAATTTTTAAAAATTACAATAAGAAAAAAATAATATTCTAAGTGTTCTTTTAAAATATTGTTACTTAATTATTCGAAAAATAATTGAATCTCGTAAAAAAAATTTTGGATAATTAAAAAAATAATTATTCTAAAAAATTAGATTTTTAAACAAATTTTAATGTTAATTTCTTTGTAGATATTTGAATTTGCGAAAAATATGTAATTGAAAGTATTTGAAATTATACTTAAATTTAAAAAATTTATGAAAAGTTTCTAATAATTATTTTTATTAAAATAAGTTAATTTAATTTTTATTCAAAAACTTTTTAATTATATACATATTTTGAAAATTTAATTATCTTATAGAAAAATTAAACAGAAATAAATTTTGAAATATTTGACTGCATAGTTATTTTTTACAATATAAAAATAAAATAAATAAATTCTTTTAATTATCTAAATAGAAAAATTAAACAAAAATAAATTTTGAAATATTTGACTACATAGTTATTTTTATATTTTATACCAAAAAAGTAATATTTTGTTGCAATATTTTAATAAGTCCAAAAAAGTAGATATTTTAAAAACTGTAATGCACTTTTTTTGAAAATTCGCCATTTTGAAAATAAGTTGAAAAAAGTCGCCTTTTTTTAAACAGACGGAAAAATTCCAAAAAATCACTATCCGAGGCTTGAAAATACATTTTCTCTTTTACTCTTTTCTTTAAGGTAGTTCTCCGGCTGCTACTCTTGAAAAAATTGATTTTCGATCAATTTTGAGAAACTGTTTCTTCGGGTGCCCTTTAAATGTGGTAAAAATTTCAAAACCCTTTGCGATGCTAAATTTTGAGTTATTCTAGTTCAAAAAGGCACCCGAAGAAACATTTTCTCAAAATTTGAAGAAAATCTATCGAAAATCAATTTTTTCAAGAGTAGCAGCCGAAGAAATACCTTAAGTTCTATATTAAAAAAAGAACTATCGTTTCAAAAAAATCAAACGTCAATTAAGTATGAAAAAGAAAACCGAATGTCATGTTTTTAAAAATGAATCTCATCAGCTCTTTTTTTGCCAAAGATTTGAGCCTTAACGAAATGAAGTTTTCTGGAAAATCTTATGATAACGCTATAAAATGAAATGGAATAGGTGATAACATTCCCTCCCTCGAATCTAAAAAAAAAATTTGTGCTCATTCCTCACGTATTTCTCCTTTAATTCCGAATTTCCGACCTTGTACTTGGCTTTAAGTCGTGTAGCTATAATTTTTTTATTCATACCGAGAAAAAAAATGTTTAGAATTTACGATTCTAGAAACTAGAAGCGCATTGCAATTTGTACATTGATACAAATACTATAGTAGATTATATAGAAAAAAAGAAAAATCGTAATAATAACGATTATTACAAAAATATATCAGAAATTGGGAAACTTTTTGGTTTCCAAAAAAAAAAAAAAAATAAAAAAAAACGTAACCACTTTAAAAATTTGCACACAAAAAAAATTAATTAATTCCAGAATAATTATTAAATTCGAATGAACAAAAATCTCCATCATTTCAGTATAAGAAATCGACTGATTTAGATCATTTTTATCTCGTTTAGAGCTATTTTCTTTTATAACTTTCCCGAGTATTTCCCGGGAGATTTTCGTTATGGATTTTCAAGCGTTCATAAGCATTATACCTCTCAAACATCGAACAAATACTCCTGGGAGTCTACCAAGAAATTGGAAATTTTTTTTCAAACATCTATAAGAAAAAAGTCTCTTTAAAGTTGTTACGTTTTCTCCCCGCCCAAAAAAAAGAAAGAAGAATCGAAAAAAATGCTGTTTTACTGCCATAATGTTGTTTTTAAAAAATTTCCTTAAATATCAATTAGCTAGTGTTTGTATGCCAGTGTCGTTTCAATTTTTTCACGCAATCATTAACGAATTTAATGATTACGAAAAACAAAAAATGAACGGAAAAAAGAATCTAAAAGACTAATAATAATTGAAATAATCTCGTGAAAGTTACAATATTCGTGATTCGTGGAAACCTCTATGTTTATTATCAGAGGATAATTATCACCTGTAAACTCGAAACATTTTGTAACTCGATATTAGTCTCCCGTTGTTATTACTCCCACGACTGTTCAGAAATAATTAGCGACGATCATAAAAAGCGAAACATAGAAAGAGTGAGAAAATGACGAGTGAATGATTGAGAAACAAAAAACAATTTTTAACAAAAAAAAAAACTCGCTAGCATTTATTAAAATCGTCACTCTCCGTAGATTTATTGTAAAAAAAAAGAATCGTAAATTTGCACAGGGACGAGAAAACTTTGATCAGCCTTATGTAGATTTAAATTTAATCAGTGATCAATCATGGTTGTGTATTTTAATCTCTGTGAGAATTAATTCGAACCATATGCAAGTGAGAAAGTTTATTTACTTCTTCTTCTTCTTCATTGATAAATAATTAAATAACAGTTAAGAAAAAGAAACAAAGAGAAAATTTCTCGACATTCTTATAATTTTAAATTCATTCTTAATTTACGGTCATTAAATTATCTCATTAAAAAAACAGGCCTCGTAACGACTTTGAAGCACAAAATTGGTCGCTTCACAAGATTGAAGATCATTTCTAAATGCAATTATAAAAAATTAAATAATTTCGTCAGTAAAAAAATTATTTCTTCACAGGAATATAAATAATTTAAAAAATTTCAACTTCAAGCATTCTGAAAGTTAACTATTTCTAAAAATTAAAACTGCAATCCTTCCAAAATTTAATTATTTACAACAAATTTTAAATAAACTTCTTCTGTTAATCAATTATTTTGTTAATAATTTTCCAAAAGTTTATCGTGAATTCGATTATTTTAAAATTAAAATTTTAGAATTTTAAAGTTCAATTTTTTTAAAATTAAGACGTCTCATTTTGATTTTTCATTATAATTTTCGAAAAATCAATTCTTTCTATAATATTTAAAATAACTGGATTTTTATAGAGAATTTTATAATTTATGAAAATAATTGAATTTTTGCAAAGAATTTTACAATATTTCAAAATAATTAAATTCTTTCGAGCAATTTCATTGAAATTGGATTGAAAATAATTGAATT